AGGAATTTTAGTAATCAAGGTACTCGAATCATTCGAGGAATCGTTTCAGCCCTACTGCAAATATTACACAACTTCTTGGAAAAAAAGAATTTATAATAATAGATAAAGACCTGTTTTAGGAAATTTGTTGCCATTTTTAAAAAAATGTTTACATTTTTTTTAAATAAATATATACGTAAAATATGCTTTTTTTCTGGGTCAGAGAATTATGTAAAAAAACAAAACAAAACACAGATCCAACCTAACAATAAGAAAAACACATCTAAAAACGTGTTCTTAGTGTCACTGTGTGAAAATTCAATGCAAAGATCGTTGGATTAAACGGAAACATTTCAGCAGAACTACAAACTGATGCAGGAATTAATGTAAAAGGAGCCCCAATCAAGTACTGACTGGATTTAATGCAAGTCTGCTAACATTTTTATGCTTAAATAACTCTTTTTGGTCCGATGAAATATTTAAATTCACTGAGACTCTGAGTTCATTACCTTCAATAACCCCCTGAATTATATTACTGTCTGTAGAGTTTATGAGATTCACTTTTTGAATTTAATCATGGAAATAAATTAACTTTTCAAAGATATTCTATAGAGATGTTCAGTTTCTAGCATTGGGCAGCAGGGGGCAGCAAAGGGACGTTAGAACCAAATCCTTGTTCATTTTCTCATTTCCTCACAAAATAGCTTAACATGAAATAAAGATGGACGCAAAAGAAAGAAAAGGAAGAAAGGAAAAAACAAATAAAATGAAAAAAGGAAGGAAATTAATGTTCACAATGTCTCAATAATCTGTGGCTAAAATTATAACAAATTAACAAAAGTTTATAGATATAAATGTAATAAACTAAGGTTTAGCATTTTTCCATTTTTTTGTTGCATGTCCACCACATAATTATACAAAAAAAAAACTACCAGTAATGTTTTTAGATCCATTTTTTCTTTATCTTCTTGGAAACTTTATGCTTTCTAAATACATTTCAAAACCTAAAGATAGAAATAAAATGGCAGTTTTGCACAAATAATACATTTCAGACTGTAGATCTTCATAAAAATGACAAGATCTTGTAACAGCTGTGGCTTTAAGTGAGTTTTATTTTACTGAACTGAGGAAAATATGATTTTTAGGATTTTAGCAATTGCAGAATGTTGATGTAGATAAAAGAATAGAGGATAAATTTAGTAAGAAATTAAAATTTCCAGATGTCCTTCGGACTACATATGACAATTTTACAGCAAATGTTAACGTGATAAACGATAACATTGTTGTTTTGAGAACATTTTCACTGGAGTGATAATCCAAGAACACATTCTCAAAGATCAACAAACTTTAAATTCTAATGAGCATTTATCTTTGGAACTGGAAGACAATTTAAATATCCAACATAAATAAAAAAACAAGAGAAACAACAAGTAATAATGAATTATGAAGTCTCTGTAAACAAAACTGTTCTTCAATAAAAAAGACCAAAACACCAGACTGAAGAAATTTCTCAGGTAGAAAACAGAAAAGAGAAAAACAATAAATCATGCAGATGGAAATTATTGAGCTTGTTTTAATTTATCAAGCAGGTTTTTTTTTGCGCTTTAGTGTAACTTATTTAATTCACCACTAGGGGGAACCAAAGCACAACAAAATGAACAACTTGGGGAGTAAGAAGAAAAGGCGACTTGGAACTGAAACATGTTTTTCCTGCCGGTTGGGAGAGAGGAGGACATATTTAGGATTGTTAATCATTTTTCAGTGTTTTATTTGTGTTTGTGGTAAACAAACTGTTTCTTCCTGTGAAGCACAGGTTGGACCAGTTAGCCGGTCTAGACGCTGTTCTCTGGTTTAGATTATTCAGAGACTGCTGTCCTACAAACACGCTCATCCTGGAACATTTCTCGTTTCTGGGGAGATGAGAAGCAGCCGACGGAGGGAGAAAGCTGCAGCAGGATTCAGCCAGATGAAGTGCAATCACATGACTCAGCCTGGCCCGCTCAGAACAGATGCCAACGTGTATGCTAATGCCGGAAAATAGCAAGTACGTCGGACACAGTGACGCACCGCGCTCTGAATAGACAACGCCGAACTCCGAAGGTGAAACTTCAGAAATAAAACTATCTGTGGGAGATCGAAGCACATTCTTTCTCCTGAGTTTACTTTATGCTACTCTCTGAAAGTCAACAAAACTTTAAAGTTGGAGGAAGTTAGCAGAATTCACAGATGTTTGATAATTAAAGCCAGATTGATGAGTCAAAGGAAACCGTCTGCTGGATGCTTCACCATGACAACCACTCAAAACAAAACCAGTGATACTGGAGAAGAAGTCCTGGGTCTAGTCAAAGCCCATCTTGATCTCATTTAGATTCAGTCTGATGACTTAAACACAGCAAAAAAACAAAATCTTACCAAGTATTTTGGTCTAGTTCTAGTGCAAATATCTTCCGAAGTAATTAAATAAGACAAAACTAACTTTTCAGCAGGATATGAGTTTGTTTTAAAGTCAATAATTCTTTACCATTTATAAAATTACTAGTTCCAGTCTTCAGCTGGAGCGCCACATGGAAATAAACAAATTAATTGCAGATTTTTAGCCAACTTCACCAAGTTTATAGCAGTTCAGTCATCCAACCACCAGGGGTGCTGGAGGAAAGCCATCTCTCTTTTCCATCCCAAAAAAGTATAAAAACTTGATCTGGAGCCACCAGATTTAATTTGGAATCAGGTTGTTTGGATCTTTTTGTTCAGGGTTGTTAATTTTACGGCTAAAAATGTTTACAGCTTACAATTTTACAGCTCTTCAGTACATTGTTGCAATTTAAATGAAGTTTATTGTTTTGCCTGTTCATTCACCACAAGTTACTAAAACGTGTCTAAATCAGATAAACTCCACAACATCAGAGAAACACATAAGAAAGGAACATCAAGTGTAGGAACAGGAAAACGTTCTCACCTGTGTTCTGTGCCAGATCACCGACGCCCTGGAGTGACCCAGTTTGTTCCGACACGGCCCTTTGTCATAGTGGATCAGCAGGAAGTCATCCTGGTATACACACACACACACACACACACACAGTTAAATAGCAACCATTAGCAGCCTTAAACACGTCTAGATGTCTCCTCGTGCAACCAGCTGAAGAATCCACAATCAAATTT